CTTCGGCTTGGTGGCTCAGCCTGTAATCCCATGCTTTGGGAGGCCGAGGTGAGTGAACTGCCAGAGGCCGTGGGATCGAGACCCTCCTGGGCAACTTGGCAAGAACCTCATCACTATAATAAATCAAAAAAATTAGCCAGGCATGGTAGCGCGCACCTGTAGTTCCAGCTACTTGGAAGGCTGAGGCGGAAGGATCACAGGAGCCCAGCAGGTCAAGGCTGCGGTGGCCCGGAGTATGCCACCGCACTACAGTCTGGGCGACAGAGTAAGACTCCAACTCAAAAAAAAAAAAGAAAGCTCAAATAATTTAATAATTATTATGCAGCAATTTGAAGAATAATACACAAACCTTACAGGTATCTGAAAAGGTTTAAAAAAAAAAAAAAAAAACTAAAGCACACTGTAACTAAAACAGCAAAAATATATACATACTGCCGGGCTCGGTGGCTCAGCCTATAATCCCGCGCCTTTGGGAGGCTGAGGTGAGTGGACTGCCTGAGCCTGCGGGTTCGAGACCCGCCTGGGCAGGCGAAACCTCATCTCTACAATAAATCAAAAAAATTAGCCAGGCGTGGTAGCGTGCGCCTGTAGTTCCAGCTACTTGGAAGGCTGAGGCGGAAGGATCGCCAGAGCCCAGCAGGTCGAGGGGCGGTGGCCGGGAACGGCCACTGCACTCCAGTCTGGGCGACAGTGAGACTCCAACTCAAAAAAAAAAAAAGAAACTGCTCTATATCAGGACAAGGAAGCAGACACAAGACTGGTTAATGTAAAAGGAAAATAAGTATTCTAAAATAAAAAGCCTACCATATGTTGACAAAAAGAGAAGACAGGAAGCTAAAGCTCTAGTGGAACCCCATGTGAGAAACAGAAGGCTTGGATGTACACAGAGCAAAACTCAGATGTAAAGAATGACGGGGCTGGGCTCGGTGGCTCAGCCTATAATCCCAACTCTTCAGGAGACCAAGGCGAATGGACTGTCTGAGCCCATGGGTTCGAGACTAGCCCAGGCAACTTGGTAAGACCTCATCTCTACAATAAATAAACTAAAAACTTAGCCGGGTGTGGTAGCACATACCTGTAGTTCCAGCTACTTAGAAGACTGAGGTGGAAGGATCACCAGAGCCCAGCAGGTTGATGCTGGGGTGACTGTGAGTGTGCCACTGCACTCCAGCCTGGGTGACAGAGTAAGACTCCAACTCAAAAAAAAACAACAAAAAAACCCCAGCATGACAGGAAGGATGGAGCAACTATTCACCTGCAGAGCAAGCCAACAATTCTTCAACATGCTTTTACACAAATTCTCTCACGGGCCAGCAATGCAGATGCTTTAAGAGTTTAGTTGCCGATAAAGCTGGAAGACCTCAACGACAATTGTGACATGTCAAGTGAAAAGAAAGCAAAAAGTAGACACAGAGTGAGACCTGATGTGAAAGAGAAAGATGATGAAGCACATGAAGCGCCACCCCGAGACGCGCGAAGACTGGTGGGCACGAGCCCAGCTCTGGGCTTGCTCACAGTGAAGGCGCAGCATGTCTGGCAGGCTAAGATCAAGCCATGTGCTGATCAAAAGGCAGAAGAAAAGCAGCGAGGAAAAAAAGGAGAAACCCCTTGTAGACATTCAAAATTAAGGAGTGAAGTGGGAAGTCAGAAGATCCAAGAAAGAGGATTAGAAGGGAAACAGAAAATTCATTTTCTGTGACTCTGAGGTAAAATGAGAGCTAAATATTAACAGCACAGAAAAATAATGTGTCTAACCAAAGACAGACATTTCTAAAAGAGACAAGGATGTACAGATAAAGAAAAATGGAGTGATAGAAAACAACAGGCCGGGCTTAGTAGCTCAGCCTGTAATCTCTGTGCTTTGGGAGGCTGAGGTGATTGGATTGCCTGAGCCCGCGGGTTAGAGACCTCATCTCCACAATAAATCAAAAATTAGCCAGGTGTGGTAGTGTGCGCCTGTAATTTCGGCTACTTGGAAGGCTGAGGCAGAAGGATCGCCAGAGCCCAGCAGGTCGAGGCTGCGGTGGCCAGGAGTGTGCCACTACACTCCAGTCTGGGCGACAGACTGAGACTCCAACTCAAAAAAAAAAATAATAAAAGAAAACAACAACCAGTGTGGTAGCTAACTCACATTTTGTTAATGTCAAAATGGAAATGAACTAGCAGCTGAAAGGGCAGTGAGGAGTTCGAGCGTGATTAAACAGAGTATCCTAAGTGGACTGAAACCACTAAAGCCTTTTTGACAAGCAGGTGGATATTAATATATCCAACAAAAGCTCCTATGCACCACCTTCAACTTTCTCCTTTGCAAATTTACAATTTATCAAAGTCTGAAAATGATTATATTTCTGATAGAAAATCAGTGAGATTACTTTATATAAGAAAAGGGGCGGGGTGTGGGAGCTCACACATGTAATCCCAGCACTTTGGAAGGCCAAGGCAGGAAGACTGCTTGAGGCCAGGAGTTTATTTATTTTTTTAAGTTGGAGCCTCAACTCTGTCAACTAGGCTGGAGTGCAGTGGCACTCTCACACCCCAGCATCGACCTGCTGGGCTCTGGTGATCCTTCCGCCTCAGCCTTCCACGTAGCTGGAACTACAGTGTGCGCTACCACACCTGGCTAATTTTTTTTTTTAATTGTAGAGACGAGGTCTGGCCAAGTTGCCCAGGCTGGTCTCGAACCTGTGGGCTCAGGCAATCCACTCGCCTCGTCCTCACAAAGTGCTGGGATTATAGGCTGAGCCACCAAGCCCAACTGAGCCCAGGAGTTTTTTTTATTTTTTTGAGTTGGAGTCTCACTCTGTCGCCCAGACTGGAGTGCAGTGGCCGCTCCTGGCCACCGCAGCCTCGACCTGCTGGGC